TTTGAAAACATTAAAGAGTGTTTTTAAAGGGTGTTTCTGGAAGGATAATGATCTAAAGATTTAATGCCTGTGGGGGAAGAGGTTCCAGTTAAAGATTAACAACATTTATGCAAAACTATGGTAAAAGGCTCAAGTCAACAACTTCTGACACTGACAGTCCTACAGATAACCCACCACTATTACGGACTACTGGACTATATTGGAGAATTTTGCTGAATTCACGCACCTACAATATTTAAATGGCAATGGAATACCCATCTCTGATAAAACCAAACAAAAAAGGGGATACAAATGAAGGACCATTTTTTATCTGCTTATACAAAATAGGATAGATATACAGCTACTTTCTCTTAATTCAGTGAGAAGAAAGATTTGTACTAGTAGTGTTTGGCCAGGATATCATACCTGCATTTGTACTACGAATAACCACTATGAAGACAACAATACACAATGTATTAATTTTTGAAGCTGTCCTACTACTGTTTTAAAACTGTCTCATTGCTATTTGTTCCTCAATAAAATTAATAATAAACTATGATGAATATAATTCCTAGTAGCAACTTGTCCATACTATTCCAAAATATAAGATTTATCTTTTAAGTACCCATAAGAGTTTAAGTACCTTTCAAAAAAAAAAAAAAACAAAAACAACTTGTAAAAAGTAAAATATCTATAAGAGCTGTTCCTCCAAATACTTTTTTGCTTACACAGTTAACAAGTTCAGTTGTTAAGGTATTTCTAGAGAAAAAGTACATGATGCCTGTAGTGAATCTTGCATGAAATTTCCTGAAGATCTGTTACAGACAAAATTAGCTCTAAATAGGTTAAGTGAAAGGTTGAAACAACCAAGAGTTTTAACAATTCCTCCAGCACAAGAGAAAGTAGTAAACGCCTATTGGAGAGAGTCGGAAAAATCTAATTGAAGTGAACTATTTCTGATAAAGAAGTAACAATTAGAAATAAAATACTCTAATTCAGATGTTAGGTATTTCTAGGGCCAGCGAGATAGCTCAGCAGACTAAGCACCTGCTTAGGCAAGTGCAGGGACCACGGTTCAGTTCTTGGCACCATATGCCATGCTGGCCCTGCCACCAACTCTGGGACCTGTAATCCCAGTGCTGGGGAGGCTGAAAATGGGAGGATCACTACAAGTCTGAGCTGTGCAGTGAGACGCTGTACCAAGTACCTAAAAAAGTAAAAAAAAATGAACTAAGTATGTCTGATTTCAGTCATGAGAAGAAGGAATAGAGACCTTCTCATAGTTTAACAGAAGAGATATTTTCTTTTGGCCAGAATTCAGTTATGTTATTTCTCTTTTTATTTTTCCCCCTTTGGTATCAGGGATTGAACTCAGGACCCTGGGTTTTCTAGGCAGGCTCTTGGGCCACTCAGCTATCTTCCCATGCCTCAATTATGTTATTTCTCTATTAATTCTCTGAGATGACATCCAAATGTATTTAATTTAGACATTGTAAAAGGATGGATCTAAACGATACAAGCTAACATGTACTCTATGTTGCAGGAGGAGGAGTATTACAGAAGTGATTTCACATTTATCTTCTTTTGTACAATTAATGTAAAAAATAAGTCTGAAAACCAATATATGTATACTATGCTCAATGCAAGCTAACAGAATAAAATTTTTTTAAATTACAATTTTTAAAATGTGAATAAAGCTGTATTGTAGCAGTAATAAAAATCTATCCACAAATGTAGCAGAGGATAATTTATGTATTCTAGTAAATATATCCAAATAATGCCATAAAATAACTCTCTTACTTAAAATATGAATTATTATTAACATGCTAAGTGGATTAAAAGTATTTTTATCCCCTTAAATTAAAAAATGGTATTACTGGACATCATACATATTTTGGGACTGAATTTTCACTTGTGTAACTAAACTTTACAGTGATTTTTAATCAAAGCCACTCGTGATTACTGTTACGCATTTCTCATAATGACTGGTCACTCTTTTACTGCAGTATACAAGGAAAGATTTCTCTTTTAAAATTATGATGGCTTTCAAGTTCTGAAGTTTTTTATAATACGATCATATTTCACTTAACTAATGGTGCCAGATTGTTCCAATATAAATAACATTTTTATGATTATGTGCAGAAAAAAAAAAAAAAAAAAAAAAAAAAAGCAAGCCCAGGGCATTCTACCCAATATCATAGAAGCCAAACTTACTTTTTGCTGTTTTCTTTGCCATCTTTGTATCACAATAGGAGCGTAAGATATCTGACCTATTGCTTTGCCTAATCGCCTACATCAACAAATATAGCTCTTGGCCTGCTCTCTTGCCTTTTGTCTCTTTCCGCTTTGTAGTCGCTAACCAAGCACAGTGCTGCAGTAAGAAACCAAGCCCCGGAACCCACTGCTTCAGTTCTAGTCCACACAGACTCATGGGCGTGATTTTTTCCTCAAACATTCCCATGATCCTTTTCTCCTTTATTTAGAAACAGTTGGTAACTTTCAATGGCTTCTGAGGTACATTTTTTTTTTTTTTTTGAAAGTTAGTATTTTCCCTTCCTCAGACCCTTCTCTTTTAGCAATCTCATTTCCTGCTGTTCTTCGGCACAATTTTTCTGCTAATCGCAAGCCATCTGGCTGTTTTTAACTTGCAGACTTTGCTTCTGACTACTTCCCTTCCTGTGTGGATGTCACCCTGAGTCATAAGGAGGCCACTCCTGCCTGATGTAGCCCATTTTGTTTTTGGATAAGCTCTTCTCTTTATTGCATAAATCAAGTAAATGAGCTATATGATGCCCATGGTTGTCTTTGTATGTGTGTCAATGTAACAAGTTCTTTCTCAGTTGTTCTGCCCATGCGTGCTATGTCTACAGTGGTGCTTTGTCTAAGCTTGAGGGAAGGGACTTTGCATCTGCCACTTCCATATGCCACACCTGGATTCACCCTCCTGCCCTCCACCAGCTCAGAACCTCAACAGCTTCTGGTCTAACTTGAGCACAGCACATGTCTAAATACCTGTTTGGTGACTAAGGTACTTTCTAAATATAAAACTACTTATATGTGAAATATACATACTAAATGATACTTATCAAAGGATAAGAAAAGGAAGTGACTATAAATTTTAATTATAAGGATAAAATGCAAGCCTGATTATTTGCATACTAATCCACACACAAGAAAATGCCTAAATATTACAAATTGTTTAAGAAAACATTTGATGTAGTTATCTACAACTGGGCAACAGAGAACATGCTACATGTGCTAACTATATAGATTAGTATTCTACAAATTATAGAACTAACAAATTATACTTTTCTAGAAAATAGAGCAATCAATGTATTTTTTCTAATGTTCAGTTTTACATGAAATGGGCAAAAGTTTGAAAGTAGGGTCTACATCTTACCCCATGAACTTAAGAATGTATGCTGATATTACTAATTGCAATTATAGTTTTCAAATAATCTCTGTACCCTGACCTTTTATCAGTATCTCTAAGTTGCTAATGTCTCTGGAATTCTTGGGCTTAGAAGTATTTCAAAAATTGTTTCAGTAGCAATTTTAATTGAATCGACTGTGATGCTATTTCAACCGTTGTAATCAGGCACAGCCTAGAAATGTTTTACTCAGAGTTATTAAAATGCTGCCACCGTCGGAAGGTAGCATGCAAATATGTCTGGCGGGGTTCTTCCAACCATCCTCTACCCCGCCCAACATCTAGACCACCAAGAGCAGACAGCGCTTTCCCTTTTCCCTCACAATGTGGAAAATAGTCTATGGGGAGCTAGGTGGGCCGCAACCAGTGGATGGCTGATATAAAGATAAACACATGAAACTGAGCTTCCAAAGGACTTTTACACAAAGACTTCCTTCCTTTGTGACTTAATAAATATTAACAGTTGTCCAATGGGGACTTAGGCTTAGCTGGGAAGCTCCTGGCTGTGCAGAAAATCAGAGCTGTGGGGCATGGTTGAGGGTAGGTAGGCTAGGGGGCACTTGTGGGGAGGGACAGTGCGGACAGCTCTTCTGCAGCCCACATTACTCTATTGTGCTTGTTCACAGGTTTTGAATTATTAAAAATGAATTATGCTTTTTCATTTATTATTAGATTTTGTTAAAGCCCACGTTTATATCTGCCCATTAATCATCTTTGTAAAAGGCAAAATTCATGAGACTTGAAGCTAATTATATATTCTATTATGCCTTTAGGTTTCTGGACAAAAGTCGTGTTCCAACACTCAATTTCTTCTTGAAAATTCATTTTCACAAGTGATGATTTAATGTTTTGTTTACTTTCAAGTTTTGCCTCTGGGAGCAATCATTTTCATGGTTAGCTTCACTGGAAAGGATAGAGTTTTACTTCATGGAATTTGTAAGCATTCAGAAAAATCACTGTGGGTTTTAAGACAAGCTGTGTCAAAAATCACTGCTTTGGCTATGCGCAGGCAGAAATGCTCCCCTGTATGCTCATGCAAATCCTGAGAGCTGGAACGTTTACATTTCTCACATCCCACCAGCAGAACTCTGGGACCAACTCACTATGGAAGCGATGTGGGAAACACTTACTTTCTATCTCTAGACTCAGGATGTATGAACAATAAACAAATTACTTTGAAATGACATAATTCTTAAATGTGATAACAGTCATCTCTCTTGCAAATCTCTTTCACTGTTTATAGTTAATCCATCACCTAATGTATAACTAGCTAGCTAGAAATGCAAATGTTAGCCTCATGTGCACTTCTCAACCTGATTTTTTGTTGTTTTGTTGTTGTTGTTTTAACCTACAGCTTTGGGAAACATTATTCTTCAGAATTAATACAACTCCTAGGTCACTAGTTTAGAAAGGCACATGTTCCTACGTTTCTAACAGCTGAATGCAAGGTGAGATGTTAATTAGTGTATACGAATTTGTGCTTTTTTTTATCCCCTTGTTATACAGTTCATTCACAATGCATGTACAATCTTTTCTGCTGTGTACCCTATTTTAACATTTCTAAGAGATAAGTCAAAAATACTACTGCAACTGAGTTCTGGATTTAGTGAGAACAAAGGCAAAGTGGATTTCCTGTGGGAGAAGATTAGATGTCACTGTCCACACCAGAGCCACATTTCCGGCAGCAGATCTCAGTGTTCTGGGTCAGGAAGCCTTCCCCCACCAGGGAGATGGAGCACTTCCCGCAGTTGAAGCACTCACTGTGCCACTGGCGGTCTTGAAAGCAGATAAATTTGGCACCTCTTAGACCTGTAAAGGAATTAGAGAAAGAGTAACCCACTCCTTCAATGACTGCATTTGAGCATATTGCCAAGCCGTCTTCTAGGAACTGAATACTGAGCAGCAAGTAAGACAAGGCAGAACCGTGTAACCCCTCAAAGAAGGCTGCCCTTCTGGGAGCACCAGACACTGGCAAGGCCCCCCACGTGACCCAACAAATTGCATGCTCAATTCTGCTGTATTCTGCAGAAGTAAATAGAATTTTGATATATTAATGACACATATTTGGAAATAAGAATTGTCTAAGGTTGTTAAAGAAATATAGTGTGTATGCAGGGAAGGGCATACATGAAGTTTATGGCAGGTTTTAAAGTCAGAGATATCTAAGTATGAATATTTTCCCTTTTCTTTCTGTGTGACCTAGTTTTCTTAGTGGCAAAATGAAGATAACATGAAATAAACATATACTTCTTAGCCTGGTGCAGTATTTTAATGACTTTTAGCTTTCTTTTCTCATGTTCAGCGCTGTTTTACTTAGAGAGAGTCTTAGAGTTATTTTGTGGTTTGTGATACAATTTCCTGAAAGCTCAAGTAGAAAATTTTATCCAAACTGCTGTACAGCTATTGAAATATGAGAATCTCATTGTCTTTCCCAGAGAGCTACAGCTTAGGGCTGCAATGAAGATCTGTCTCTCTGATCACTCTAGCAGGTCTCACCACCCTATCCAGAGTTTTTCAACAAGCGCCCCATTCAGTTCTACCATTTTAACTTGGGTCTCACTTGAGCTACAGTGAATTTTTTTTAATTAGTAGCATTTGAAATGTTTTACAGGAGAAAAGGTCTAGAAGTTAGGAAGAAGTTAGGGTTTCCTAGATTTGAGAGTTTATTTATTTGATAAGTTTTGTCTAAATAATTTCAGTGCTACAGGATTCCTATGATTTGCTTATCATTCGTATAGCAAAAATAGAATTGATATGGGTTGGTTCATATGTAATTTCTAAATATTCCATTTAGGATGCGGAAGTAAAAAAGAGTGAATATACATTTTATTTCAGATAAACTCTCTGATTATAGCAAACTTTAGTTTTCATCCCTAAAAATTTATTTGATGTCTTTGTATAGAGTTTAGTAGTTCATAGAGAAATTTGTACCAAATTCCTATTTTCTGTCCTTAGTTTGTTTGTTTTTGATGTTATTACTTTCCAATAAGAGTAAATTAGTAACATACCAACTAATTATCTTAAAATTATTTGAAGCATTATGAAGCAGACTTCAAGAGTGATGTTCTATACTCCATATGTCATCTTCATTCATATAATTAGTACATATATAATATTTTGAGACTTATTTGATTGTCTTTACTTTTATTTGAACATCTTCTATAAGCAGCAAATGAAAAACATGCTAAAATTATATTAAGAAGAAAATATCAAAATATCTGACATCCAAACTTTAAAAAAGGCCTGCCTCAACAAGTGAGATGTTTGTAAATTGTTTCAAACTTGGGACATGTTTACTCTTTTAAGTCATGTGGATCATCTGAAGTTATAAAATCACCGAGGGACACAGATTTTGCTGCTTGTGACCTGGCTTTGGGTGTTCCTAACAAGCAGTAGAACAAGAGGTGCCAGTTTTTGGCCCTTGAATACGTACCAGTCTCTGTCCTAACCCCTTTATGTGTTTTTACTCCACAACATGTTCATCTTACTTTCGTGGGGTAGGTATTTGCATCATCTCCAACTTGTAGACTAAAGTTAGCAATACAGCTAGAGAGCTGCGCACAGCCGCGCCCCAAAGATGGCTTATGGCCCTTCCTTAAGCTTTTTAGAATGAAGTAGCTCTTGTAGAGCCAAAAAAATTGGGTACGAACTAGAAGCGCCCATGATACAAGTCTTACTTTCACTTTTAGGCTCGTTCTTCGGCGAACCTTGGTGCTCTCTCTTTATATACAGAGAAGAGCCCTTTCCCTCCGCTCTTGTCGCGGATCCCCAACTTACCAGGGGACTTACCGGTGCACCCCCTGACCGCTGCAAGTTCTGAGCCGTTGACTGAAGGGTTCCCCGTACGTACGGGCCACCACTTGTTGCGCACGACCTCGCCAGCAAGGAAGACGCAACGACCAGCTCTTCTTGCAGCAGTTTATTCAGGACCTCTAATTACAAGTTCTTCTTCCTCTATATCTTCCGGGGCTTTCCTATGGCATATAGCCCCTTTTGCAGCCTATCCCAGAGTGCCACGTGAGCGCTGCCCATAGGTCCAGGTATGCGGAAGCAGACCATGGGCCTTGGTCCCAGCCTTACATGGAGTTGTTGACTGGCATAGAGCACTCACCCGCAGGGGGTGGGAAGCGGAAGCCAGCGCCATCTTTGGGGCGCGGCTGTGCGCAGCTCTCTACAATACAGAAGTTCAACTACTTGTCTAAGTTTGTCTAATTAGAAATGGCAGATCTGACTCAACTCTAGGGACGTTGCCTCCCAAGTTTATGCTGCTAACCTCATTGTAAGTTCAGCTTTATGTTTTGTAAAGAACTTAACCAAGAACATTAGTGTCTCTCATGGGATAAACTACAACATCTGAAACTCGCTGTCATCTAAATAAATAGACATAGAAGGAAGCTAGCGTGTGATGCCTTTCAGCTCTTCAATAAGTGAGCATGCCAAAGATAACCACCAGGGACGTCATTCACATGTGGTCACTGAGCAGCCACGGCCAGAGGCAAGACCAGTCTTATTTCCCAGTCCTGAGCATTTTCACTCCATCAGTAGCTTGCTTATTGCAGATAATTTGAAATGCTATACTATCTTAAAATGGAAGACAAAGTTGTACTTATATTAGGAGTTTGTTAAAGTGAAACAAATTCATTGCAGTTAAAAGATTTACCTGGTGATACAGAGATAGATTTTGCTAATATAAAATTGTATTTTTTTTGAGACAGGGTCTCCCTATGCAGTTTGGACAGGACTTGTGTTCACTTTTGTGTAGCTCCAGACTGGTCTCAAACTCACAGCAATCATCATGTGTCAATCTCCTGAATGCTGGGATTACAGGCATGTGCCACCATGTGGGGTTCCAGGGACTGAACTCGGGACCTTGCACTTGCCAGACAGGTGCTTATGCTACTGAGCTATCTCCACAGCCCTATAATTGCACTCTGAAACTATTCTGAAACCTCTCTAACATAGCTTTTAAAAATTTGATTTTAATTGACAAATAGCAGTTGTACATTTTTATGACATATAACATCATGTTTTGATATATGTTTACACTGTGGGTAGCCGAATCAAGTAATTAAGCATTATCTCACACACATCTCATTTTGATGAGAACATTTAAAATTTTCATTAAAATTTTCAATTTTCAAGTGTGTTATGTATTGTAATTAACTATAGTTACTATTCTATATAATAGATGGTCTGCACTTATTTCTTCTGTCTAATTGAAGTCATGTGTCATTTGCATAAAATACATTCCTTCTTGGGCCTGCCAAATAGCTCAGTGGATTAAAGTGCCTGCAAGCAGGCTCAGGGGTCGGGCATTCGATCCCAGGGTCTGCCATGCCGGCCCCACCCCCAAGGCGCGCTGAGACTGCAATTGAGACTGGGCATAGTGGCACGCACCTGTAATCCCAGCTTTTGGAAAGCTGTAAACAGTGGATACTATGAGTCTGATCTAGTAGTGAGACCATGAACACCCTGTAGGCCCTTCCCTAAAATACACACACACACACACACACACACACACACACACACACACACACACAGAATACATTATTTCTTGAAATGAAGGCATGCATGTCCAATTTTCTAAAGATCAATATATTACCGTATCGAGATTACTTATGATACATTGATTCAAATAGTTCAATTTTTAGAAAATCATTTCTTCTAATTCATATTTACCAATCAGATTTAGAAATATAGAGCCATTTTCTGGCATCTCAATTACAGAACCAAAAGAAGACAAATAATTATTAGGGGTTCCTTTCAGATTCACTACAATACATGAATACATAATGACACGTGGGGGTTAGTCTTGGGTCTGATCTTCCTTTTTGATGCTTGCCTTTTTGTAGAACCATTATTTTTCTGTCTGAATTTTTAAACAGTTCTGCTCAGCAACTGATGTGGAACAATTTATCAGAAAAATCACACAAATCTGTGATGGGTCAAAGCTGACGCTCATCGAGTTCATCCAGCGTAGGATTTTGTATTTCCTTGAGATCAACATTAGGCACTAGAAGGGCAATGAAGGTACTGTAGCTGAGGGACAGAGATGGGTGTGAGGGCAGAGAGGACATGTCCCACCCAACCCGCAGCTGCTCAGCTACAAGGGGCAGCATTTGTGCTTGGGGACATGAAGGCCGCTCGCTCACCTGTGGCAAGCTCTTCCATTGTTTTCACTTTAGATATGACCTAGCTATTTTTCCAAATATGGAAGGAAAATAAAACCTTTATGGCAGCCAAACACAGTTCATGGGCCAGTGTAAAATTCTGAAATAATAGCGCCCTGTGTCGATGCATAGGACCATGCTTTATCTGACTGATTTGTTCGCTCCTTTTGCCAATGGTGAAAACCGACCAAGTGAAATTTGTCACAAACCTTTTCCTTCACTGACAGATGAATGGAGGTTCAACTAATACATTGGCATACATATTTGAAAATGGAGGAGAGAAAGGGTAGAATAATCTTCAATTCTGTGTCATGCGATCAGAACTAAAGAATGAAATATGGTCTAAGAATATTGGGAATGGAAAGTAGAAATACAGTTCTGTACCATTATTAAGGGGCTCTAAGTTGCAAGAATAGCTACTGGGTTTCTGAAGTATGCTGGCTTCAGCTCCTTTATTATAGGATTAGCACGTTAGAGATGGCTGTGAAGGAAACAGTTCATTTTCTTAAAACCCTGAAAAATCTATCTTACCTGGATCAGTTTTGCATTTACATTATTGTTCAAATCATATCTCATGTATACTGTTTCTAGTAGTTTATACATATTTTTTCATTTATTCACAATTAAAACTTGCTCCAAATACATAGAGAAAAAAGAACATACATTTGTTAGAAATACCTTAAAATTAAGTTTAATTAATTCCTGGTCTACGTTACCTTAACAATTACAGCTTCACATATTTTATAGAATAATTGCACTTTGTATTTTAAGTGAGCTTGGTCCTTTCTTAGAATTAAATTGGATTCTGATTTATAAATATATCTTACACTAAAATCCTTAATATGTCTCAAATTAGTCCTGTTCATTATGGTGAGCTCCCCCTGTTCTCTTCCTTCCTAGAATTATGACTTTACTTAGAGTCTGTACCATTAGATTTGGTATTTAATTTTTTTCAGGGATTTCTTTTTATGGCGAGTAGCTACCCAAATTATACTCTTTCTTTTTCTTGGGGGAAGGGAGTCCATGTAATATTTAAATTTATAAAGGAAAAGAGGCATAAAGGAAAGATTTACATTTTTTAACTGTCTTTCCTAAATTGATTTGGTAACGTTTTCCCTTCTGTCTTACAGGGAGGAACAAGTTAAGCTCAAGATCTTACCAGTAATGGGCTTGGCACAGGCTGCACACCTTTTGGCATAAAGGTGGTTGTAGCAGTCCAGGCAGAAGGGATAATCGTCTCTGGACATAAACTCTTCTTCACAAAGCTCTTTCCTGCAGCCACTGCATAGAAAACACTCTTTGTGCCATTGCTGGTCACGAAACGTTATTCCACCAGAAGTTATCACCTGCCAAGGGATCACAGAAAGGGGGATGAATGTAGGTGCCACTACAATTCAAACCATTTCATGATTTTCTTCTGATTTGGACTACTCTATCTCCTTGTTAGGACATCTTTTTTCCTGATACTACTGTGATAGTTTTGAATTAATAAGAGCTACCAAATATTATAGGGATTAAATAGAACTGAGAAAAGGTTAAAACTAATATTCTCCTGGAATGGATTTTTTAAAAAGGCGGGACCACCAAGGAAAATAAAAAAGGAACAAGTACTTGATTCACCTTCTCTTTCTCTGAGTTTTCTTACTATGGTATTCAAAGATTTAAAGTCACAGTTAAGATGTTTCTATACTCTGCTGTTACATCAATATCTAATTTTCAAAGATGTTGAAAATGTCCACATTTTTCTGAAAGCCTTACACTAGGTTCAGAAACATCTAGAATTAGAAACACGGCATGAAATTCATATGGTAGTAAGATGTAGTATTTCAAATTGTTCTCCTCAGTCCTCAGCACTGTGCTGAAAGCTGGCCTCTTCTGTTTATTCACAACACCTCCCCATCTTCATGATACACACTGTTATCTTTTTCCACTTATACACAAGCAATAGCTCATGATCAGAGTAGTGGAAGCACTTGCACTGACCTCAGAGAGACGGCACTCAAGCCTATACACTCCGACCCCACAACTTGTGTACTTAACTACTCAGACAATTCTGAGTCCAGCCGTTTTTGTGTGTAGAACCGCTTCCTAAGTCCCTGTTGAATGAATGAATACCAAAAGAAAAAAATCTCTGAAAAATAATTCTGATACTATGTCTGTCACACAGGGTACTGGGGACAGTAGGATGAGTTTTCAGCTTTCGGCTTCAAAATAATGGCGTTAGTTATACACTGAGCCTTAAAATGTGATTGGATTTGCTTAGAGATGATTCTTAGTTCTCCATAAGGTAGTATATTTTTTCTAAACCAGTTTAATCCATGGATTCTATTACTAAAAGTCTGAAACATCAGAATGGATAAATATCTGATAAATATTCTGATAAATATTCAGAAATGGATAAATATTGGGCAAGTCTTCTGAAGTAGTTATTTTACAGTCATATCTTCCAAACCCCTGGAAATTGAACTAGAGATGCTGAGAAAACTAGAATATGTTCATGCACATATCTTTTAAAGACTAAAGCAAGGTGAAATCCGAGATTTCCTTACAGGCTTCATATCAAATTTAATCTTTAAGCAATCTTATTGTTGATGAGCTAAAAATGTTGTATGCTTTTGCAAAAATTGTTCTAAAGATATTTTCAATCTTACAACAAATATGTTATAAATTAAGGATATTTTACATGTGTTATTTCCTACAGGAAAAAAAATACTATTCTGAGTAAGTGAAGGGGAGCATAATGGTTTGTGTGAAGCAAAGCAATTTAAAACACCCCTACTGACTTCAAATGCCTCACATCAGGCACAGCAGCAATCATAATCCCTTTGATTGGTTTGGTCAAATGATAGCAGGCAATGCTTAAAAGATTTGAAACTTGAAAAATGTATTCAAAGCAAAATACAACTTGATATATGCACCAAAGTGTGTATAATTAAGGAGTAGAAACTCTGGAATGTTGAAAGTAGTTTGCTTGTGATTATATTCTTTTTGAAGAGTTAAGCAGTCTAAGACGAAGTCTAATATCTAAGTTTGGTTTAGACCACTGACTGATCTGAGAATTTGGAGCAAGTTTATTCCCTGTAAAGTAAAGGCAATAATGATTTTGCTTGCAGTAGATGATAGACAAGTTTTAAAGAATCCATTTAATTCTATTTGAACTCTGAGGAATTTGAATTCAAAGTACTTGTGATTTTTGATGATTTATTTTTTAGTATAAAATGGATTTTGGTACAACAAAGTAAAATCTGTGGGTCTAGCTTTCTAGTACTTTCTGCTTTAGAAAAAAAGACATTGGGTCTTTGATTTGGGTTAAAAATTTGTTTTCTTTGTTTTCGGTCAAAAATATGTATACCTGCTTTTCTTCAGGAACTCATGCTTTAAAAATTAAATAGGCACATCATAATCTGCCTACTGCCCAACATCAACATTTCATAAATTTTTGGTGATTTCAAGTCATATCTTAAATATAGTCACAGTCGTCCATAACCTGGGAAATGCCAGAGCTTTCCACTAGGTAGCAATCAGCCCTTATGTTTTGGAGAACTTCCCATCTTGAATTTTTATAGATGCACTGAAACAAAATTTATACTGTATTCTATACATTTAGGATGTTTCCCACAAATTTCATTAATTTTTTTTTAACCAAACTCATTAAGAAGTAAAAGCCAAAATGGCTACTTAGGTTTCTTACTTCATTTTATTTGTATCACTTGTTTTTAAATGTGTATTACTGACTGTGGTAATTCAATGAAGGTTCGTATGTCTGTCACAGGGCCACAGGGTCTGACTGTTGCACATAACATTATTTTCTAAGTCAATGTTTTGGCGAGGTAGTGGAGGTCTTCATGTGTTAGACTGTTTCATGTCATAATATCCACTGTGATTCTCAGTCATTATTATGGTGCAATTCAATAATGTTAAGTTAGGGGCCTGCAAGATAGTTCAGCAGACTAAGCACCTGCTTAGGCAAGCGCAGAGACCAGGGTTCAATCCCTGGCATCACACACAGTCTGAATGACCCTGTACCAAATTAGTAATAATAAAAAAATTTTTTTTAAAAAGTTTTAAATTAGGAAACTGCCATTGTTCCAAATTGAATGTAGCATTGTAAAAATATAGAAAGTGATAATAAGACTGTAAGTTGTGCACATACAAACACACAAATGGCTCTAAGAGACCTGACAAAGTAGCCCACAGAGCGCACACGTTTAGGAGGTGCCGGACGAATCCAATGGGTTTCCATGATTCAGCTTTCTCACCACAATTTATGGTGTCCTTTAAAACCTGTGTTGGCTCACCAGTCAAGGATTTCTTCCAGAACATCGAAATATATTTTATGAAACATGTGCTTTATCAAGATGATAGACACATACCATTTTTCACATAAACGCTTCAAAGCTGAAAAGAGATTTGCCAAAACATCTTCTAAAATATTATTTTTTTTGCTGTTGGAAAATGTGCTTTGATTGGAAACCCAGACATGAAGACCCTACTTGTTCTGGAACTAGAAGTGGAGGAGGCCGCAGCCCTTGGTCTTTTTGTGTCTTTATGTTTACTGAATTTTCCTAAAGAGTCTATCAGTCTCTTAAATCCACCAGCCTACTCTTTGAAAATATAAACTGGGCATGATGGTGCATACCTGAAATCCCAGCACTCTGGGAGGCTGAGGTAGGAGAACCACTGTGGTTCAGGACCAGCCTAGGCTACAAAGTGAGCTTAAAGCCAGCCTGAACTGCAAGGTGAGACTCCGTCTCAAAAAGGCAAAGGAAATACAAAAGTGTCAAACCAATAAGGCATTTGCTTCATGGGATACAATGTGAGATGTTAAACAGCAATTTAACTTGGTTTATTCAGTCATTCTGTGAGGAAAATCCATACTTCTCTGAAACTGTTCTGTATTCAAAGAGAGATGTGCCCTCTCCTGGTTTACATGAGATGTTGCATAAAAGCAATAAATGGAACTGGAATGCTAAATAACTTGAGCTATTGGAATGTCAAATTTGTCTCCTGGGTGGAATTTTATGGCTAATAAAAATCATCAGCCAACCCCATTGGGATGACTGGAGGTTTTGGTCCTACAGAAATTTAAAACTAACATCAATATGTTAGCTTGATATACCATGACAGTGTTAGTTAATTGTAATTACATGATGCAGCTAAAAAGTAACTGGAAGCTTCCATATGCTTCATGCTTTTTAGGTAGTTACCTTCTTACAAGAGTTGCAGTACTGAGCAAACTCCTTCTCAAAACATGGCACACAACAGTTGCCAGTCTCTCTGGAGATCAAAGGCTTCGTTCCTATTGGTTGCCGGCAGTATTCGCACACAAAGCAGGTTTCGTGCCAGTAGTTCCCCTTAAATTCCATTTTGCGAGAACCTGAATTCCAAAAGTAAGAATGTTTAGTCTAAATCAGGCACCACTTTACATTCTTTAAGCAACTGTAAGTCACTTTACTTAAAAATATACTTTAAACATAAAAATCATAAATTGCCTTTTTAGAAAAATAGCCTTCTTTTTTCAGTTTCAGAAAGGTTCATCTGGGGAAAGAAAAGTTAATGCTGTCTAGCTGTGAGTCACTTACTCATTCCCTGCAAATTCTTCCAAGCCCTGCATATAAGCTGCTATTGGAGAAGTGAAAAATATCTGAGGTGGAGAATTTGGATGGCTATATAGGGTTTAGATAAATTGGGCCATGATAATCATTACAGGGATATTAGAAATGCCTAGAGAATTTATGTTGCATAATAAGAAAATGAGACAGAGAGAGACAGATGAGGGGGGTATTTCCTATATTCATAAGAAGAGAGAAAAGGATCAAAATATATTGCCGCAATAAGCAATGCCTGCCAACAGTGGCATCATTGTTAAGGATCCGCCTGTGTGTAGTGCTACAAAACAAAGCTTGGCTCCGATCTCCTGCGACAAGTCATTCTTTCTTAGGCTGTTGAGTAGGCCCAGGGAATGTTTTCCAAGTAGTGTCATTGGTATGAATTTTGTCTTTTTGTACTGTTTGGGTTCTGTTTCAAAATAGTTCTTTCAGCTAAAGTTTTTGAGAATAGAACATTGTTCGACTATCTGTTCACAAATAGTGAACAACCTTTTTCTTTCTGAAGTTTATGAAATAACTTCAGAAGAGAAAGCAAGATGAACGTCTTTCTCAACCCAGGGCCCTTGAGCCCTGTGCTCTGCTCCTTCAGGCAGCTAAGGAAGTGCAGCTCCAGTCAGAGCCTGGAGCTTCTCACAGATCTTACCAGGCATGATGGTCCTCTTGCAGTGGAAGCACTTTGAGGAGCACTCGTTAGAATAGCACTCCGTGCATAGCAGGCGCTCATCCTTGGCAGCAAAAGGATTTTCCACCAAAGACTGATAGCATTTGCTGCACCTGAAGCATGCTTCATGCCAATGGCGGCCTTTGTAACAAAGATCCTTTGAGATAGGAGATAAGAGGTAATTAAATGTGCTTACAACAAAGCAGACCATTTTGTAAGGTAAGCTGAGCATTCCTGGGACTCTAGCACCAGGAGGTTGTGCAACTGGCTTGACGAGGAGTTGTTACTGATACTGTTATCTACAAAGAAGAGACGCTGAGTAAGAGTTAGAATCTGGGATTTTCTTGATTGGTCACTAAGGGCTGCTGGGAAATAAAATGACTCCCTGACACCTCTTTAAATATCCAGCAAAACAGATTGTTCATAGAATGGTTTTAAAATTCAAACTTGTAGTGATCCTCCTGTTTTTAGTCTCCCCAGAAATGGGATTACAGGCATGCATCACCACCCCTAGATTCAGTGGCCTGCTCAGTGCGCCCAGGGGCGGGGTCAGTGCAGCACGTGGTGCCAGGCATCGAACCCTGGCCCCTGTGCTTGCCTAAGCAGGCACTTAGTCTGCTGAGCTATCTCGCCGGCTCTTAGAATCATATACTTTATTACTCTTTGAGAGCTAACAAACAATTTTTTTTTTTTTATATTTGGCAGTGCTGAAGATTAAACCCAGGGCCTTATAAGCGCTAGGCAAGCTCTCAACCACTGAGTTACATCCCAGACCGACAAACAGATAACATCACCCAATTTAAAAAAAGACAAAAAAGAAGAAAAAGACAAAAAATACTGAGCATTGTATGAGGAACAGAGGGTAAGTGGAAAGGTTTAGTAATTGCGGCTCAGGGTAGATTAGGCTGCTTTTTAAAGTAGAAAATCACAGATTTTGAACTTTTTCATATTCAATCATTTATGTATTTAATTATGCTCTGGCTATTACAGAATTAACTCAGTATGTTAACTGTGTAGCTTTAGGAAAAAAAGCTTAATTTGTTTATCTTTATAGTCTTAAAAACTACCTTACAAGATCATGTGGAAATTGAAGCACGTATCTCATAATGTATATATATTGGCTAGAACTTGATGACAACTTTCAGGATCCTTATATAATGTAGCCCAAAAGTAGAGTTATAGGTCAACAGAGAAAGAGGGATTCCAGAGCACTTCTCTGCTGTATATAAGCAGTCATTCTGTGAGTTGTGGTGAGGCCTACCTTGGAATCTGATTCAATTGGTTCTTTGCATGCTTCACAATAATTAGAGAAGATGCGATCGTAGCAGGAGACACAGTAAGGATTGTCGTTCTTCAGAATGTATTTCTTCCCAAGAAGCGATGATGTGCAATGCTGGCAACCAAATTGAGTTGTCATTTTGGTTTGATTCTGTGAACAAGAAAATGATTCTGAGGGCCAGCAAGATAGCTCAGCGGACTAAGTGCCAGAGTAGACAAGCACAGGGGTCAGGGTTCAATCCCTGGCACGACATGCTGCGCTGGCCCCACCCCCGGACACACTGAGCAGGCCACCGAGTCCAGGCGTGGTGGTGCATGCCAGTAATCCCAGTGCTGGGGAGGCTAAAAACAGGAAGATCACTACAAGTTTTAGCTGTGTAGTGAGACCCTGCACAACCAAACAACAACAAAACTAAAGAAAATAATTCTTGTACATAAAAGATTTTTTTAATAAATGATAAGCCCTGTGAGTCTAGCACTTGACTGAATTTCTATTTTCTTAAGAAAAAAAAATCTCCAATTTAGGAAAATATACTTGTGGTCACAGAGATATTTGGAGTGATTTAAGAAAGGATAGTCTTCCATCTTGACAGTTATTGTATATTTTGCTAAAAAAAATTAACAGCATCAAGCCAGACTGTGAAAAACATCTTGCATTCATCATGAGCTAGTGTGGAAGTCAATGAGAGTGTGATGTGAGTTAAAATCTGATGGTTTCATCTCAAGACTAAAAATAGGTCCTATTGATAGTGCTTTTACCATTATCACTTAGCATAATCTTGAAGAGTTGCAGAGGTGGATTTTGGTGGAAATGAGACTCCTTTTTACTCGAACTTAAATAGAAAAAATAATCAAATACCTTGTTATTTTCTAGTCCATTTTGTTTTTTTATTTCTAAAATCTTTACTGGGTAGGTAAGGAGGGATTTATATATAAATCCTAGGGTCTTCCAGTATCATATACTGTCTGTTATAGTAACACCTTATTCTGTAGCTTCAATCACTTTGAATTTGATGACTCAAAATACTGTTTTCTGCTGGTTTCAGCTTCCTGGGCAGCTCCATTTGAATATCCTACTCCAAGCTGACCAAGAAAGGAAAAGCAAAAACATTCCTCAGCAGGTTAGATTCAGTCCAAGTATTAGAACTTCATGCCTAGGGATGAGGGATTGCCCAGGTGTAGAAGTGTACATAAAATCATTATTGGTAACAAAAACCTGTAGAACTTCTTCATACTTCAGAACTGAAGTTACATGCATATACTATGAAGAATGCATTGTTCTCTAACAGAATAAAGGTTTGTAATGAAACATGAAGCCAAGAGAAGGATAAGAATTTTGATTATTTTATGAATTTAGGAAAGCTACTGTGGAACGAAACATACAGATTTGAAGCTTATACTTTGGAATTAAACATGAAAATTTCATTATCAGAAGCAGTAACACTATTTTTTCTTAGGAAATGGGGTTTATAGTTGCTGGACTGACTGGAATATGCTAGAATCAGTGAATGTTTTCCAATTCTTCAATTCAGAAAAATGTTAAATTCTAGTAGATTACAACATCAGTCATGATGGTGCTTTTTAAAGGCACTTTGATGCCAATTATTTATTGACTTCATTTTAACTATTATTCATATGCATTTTACTTTCTCTTATTCTTGTGATAAGTTTCCCCACAGAACATTGCTAATAACTTTTTGTGTAGCAGTTATGCTACACTGAACTTCACTAATAAGTAGAGAAAAGACGGAAAGTTTTGAATACATGAGTCTTTTCCCAGTAAAGATGAAAATTCAGTCGAGAAATTTCCCAATGGACCATGACCAAAATTATCTGCAAAGAACATTGAATTCTGTCGTATTATTTCCACAGCAATGTCTTATCCAAGTGAACACAAATACACTCAGAGTTCCAAAGGGCTTGGAAACAGCAGGAAAATAGATCCGATTTGTTTGAAAAGATTCAAAAGTTTTTATTCACTTGTACAGCGACCACATTTATTTTAATGGTGCATGGAAAATGCCTTTTCTATTATTAATACTTAATTTTAGATACACATAATAGCACCAGGAAATGTGACTTCTCAGGGGTTGGCAATTTCCAGGCCACTTCCATTTTCTAAGGTTATTCATATAAAAATGAAGAAACAAGGGATTGTAAAATTGGTAATGTTTTAGTTATTTATGTAGACATCATAATACGGTAACAGTATAACATTTGTACTTGTTGATTAGGTCAGAAGTCTAAACGTAAGACCAAATGCTCCCCACCTTCATCTTATCCATCTATTAAGATTGTTCCATAGAAAATTCTTTAAAAATGGAACGTATTTCTTCATTTTCTGAAAGAAGAAAACTAATTCTTGTTCCATTCTTTTTCTTTTCTTTTCCAATAATTTTATTGAGGAGCAAAAGCAATGAGACAGTTTCAAATCTGATTAGTAGGACAGTTTCAGTAATTAATACATTGCATATTGTTGTCTTAGTGATTATTCATTGTACAAGATGCAGACATGGTATCCTGCTTACAAATACTATTAGAACAAATCTTTCTATTCATTGAATTAAGAGAATGTAGCTGTATATCTATCCTAACTATTTTGTATATACATATACAAAATGGTCATTCATTTGTAACCCCTTTTTTGTTTAGTTTTGTCAGGCATGGGTATTTCATTTCCATTTAAATATTATAGGTGTGTGAATTCAGCAAAACATTCCAATATAGTCCAGTAGCCCATAATAGTAGTGGGTTTTCCGAAAGACTGGCAATGTTTCATAAATACAGCATCAGTGTGAATAGGACAGAGTGAAAAGTCAGTCCAGTATCCCAAAAACTGGTGTCTTTGTATCTCTAGGTCTAAACAGTGACAGTGGTCATTTAGTACATGTCAATGCTTATTGAATATTTACTCAAGGATATTTGAGTTCCCTGTTCCACAGCAACAGGACTCCCTCAGCTTGCTAGTGAATAAAATCTTAGGTATATTCTGGGTTTTTTTTTGTTTGTTTGTTTGTTTTTTGCTGTTGTTAAAAGTACACTAAGAAATTCAGTTCTCATTTTCATGAAGCATGCCATGTAACTATAGAGATATAAAGTGTTCAAACAGTTTCTTAAAAATACAGGTGTTATAACTATACAAGTGATATGCCTTCTATTAGAGCCATAAAGGACTATCAGAGAACTAAGAGAAAGGCTTTTCTAGGTAGACTCTAAGGAAGTTAAACTACTGGAAATCTGTCAGCAAGCAAGAAAGCAAGGAAACAATTATTGTTCATTATCAAGGAAAGAGAAGACAAATTAGAAAACAGGACAGAATCTCACATGAAGTTGGTAAATGGTGATTCTTGACACTGGATTTGCACCTGATACAATAAAAATAAAGACTGAAACATTAAAACTTTTGAAGCTACTTGAACCTCTAACAAAATGGGGAGGGAGTGGACTAAAGTGAAAAGACTATGAACTTTTTCAACCAAATTATCTTTCGTCTCTTTGTTCTCTAAGCATCAGTTGTAGTTTCTATTATTCTTTACCCCTAACTTAAGTGTTTGTAAGTACTCAAAGAATGTCTTGTCCAGGGAGCAGGCCCAATGCCTGGTTTTAATCACTGTCTAACAGGGAAAACTGTAGGAACAGAGGATGAAGATTGCCTAATTCTTTTCACAGGAGATGCATCTTAATTTGTCAAAGATATTGAGGAAATTTTGTTTTTGAGTATTCAAAATTTTTGAACAATGCTGAATTATGTGTCTTAAAACTCTTAATATTAACAATGTACCACAACTGAGTAGCGTTTATTTGTGGGAGTGGAATGCTGATAATTAGTTTGGGACATATAATTTCGACATTCATTTAAATTTCTTTCAAATTGACCTTGTATCAATACTTCAGACCTTTTTTTTTTTTCATCGGTACCGGGGACTGAACTCAGGACCTTGCACTTGCCAGGCAAGTGCTTATTCTACTTGACCTATCCATTTTAATCATTACATACTTTTATAAGATTGAGAGGTGAGCTGAACATATGAAAATAAATATAATCCATCAAGAACAGACTTCATTTCCCCAGCAGATTTTACTTCTAAGACTTCTACCTAGACTTCTGGAAATAGTTTCAATAGATGAGAACGTGTTTATGGAAAGGTGTTATTTCTTAGGTGTTATTTTTTAAACCATGAATCATGTTATGTCAAGTTATATTTTATAGTGAGTTATTGGTAAGACAACTAATGCTCTGAGTAATAGATCCACTTACATTTCTACCATGCCAAGAAGAATGAATAGCTTCACAGTGGGTGTACTTGATTGCACGTCAAGTAGGAGAAACTCAAGCCAAGAATCCAGGCCTGCTATCTTAATGTGCTCAGCTTATAAGGCATCACACACCATTCATTTATTCATGTATTCAGTAAGCATATAAAGCATATGTTATTTGGAAAGCAATCTTCTAGAAGATTCCCATTTGCAGAGAATTTATAATCTAGCAAAAGAATGAGGGCATTTTACAAGCCACTAAACAACAACAACAACAACAACAACAAATAACTAAACAAAAGTTGGGAAGGGTCTAAAGAGAAATGAAAGCTAACAATCCATTAATACCAGTGTTTCTGAGCATTTGGAAAATTTTCAAGTTGCAGCTTCCCCAAACCAGTATATCAATTTCTGGAGGTGGTGACTAAAAGTAAATGCTTTTCAGTTCTTAAGTGGCTCTAATATTGAGGGTTGAAACCACCAGTTTAAAGGCAAGGAAGAACAATTTCAGCAAAGTAAAATTAGAGAACAACACAGAGAAGGTGCATTCGATGAATTGTAGTGCACTGGCTTTCCTAATCTTGTGTTATTCTTCTTCTGGTCAGGCAGGCTGAAAGTGCCTACTGGACTCTCTTAAAGTGAGGGAATGTTTAGGAGGCAAATCTGGCTCTCTCACATGTAGGAAAATTGAAAGGCAAACAAAATGGAAGATGATTTTATCACTGTTGATGTTGGCAAGCTGGAAAAAATATGTTTAAAAAAATCTCCTTAGTGGTATCAGAGACTAAAACATAAAAAAATTAAGTCTCAGCAGAGAAAGAAAAACACAAATAAGCTTACTGCCTGGAGCCCCCTTTTCAAGAAGCACCTGTGAGTTCAAGAGGAGAAAATTAA